TTTTTTTTTTTTTTTTTTTTTTTAATAATAATAATAATAATAGAAGACAAGCCCATATGGGTGGAACCAGCACAGGGGTGTGATGTTATGATTGATTATTTTAATATATATATATATATATAAATGGAACCAGCACAGGGGTGTGATGTTATGATTGATTATTTTAATATATATATATATATATAAATGGAACCAGCACAGGGGTGTGATGTTATGATTGATTATTTTAATATATATATATATATATAAATGGAACCAGCACAGGGGTGTGATGTTATGATTGATTATTTTAATATATATATATATATATAAATGGAACCAGCACAGGGGTGTGATGTTATGATTGATTATTTTAATATATATATATATATATAAATGGAACCAGCACAGGGGTGTGATGTTATGATTGATTATTTTAATATATATATATATATATAAATGGAACCAGCACAGGGGTGTGATGTTATGATTGATTATTTTAATATATATATATATATATAAATGGAACCAGCACAGGGGTGTGATGTTATGATTGATTATTTTAATATATATATATATATATAAATGGAACCAGCACAGGGGTGTGATGTTATGATTGATTATTTTAATATATATATATATATATAAATGGAACCAGCACAGGGGTGTGATGTTATGATTGATTATTTTAATATATATATATATATATAAATGGAACCAGCACAGGGGTGTGATGTTATGATTGATTATTTTAATATATATATATATATATAAATGGAACCAGCACAGGGGTGTGATGTTATGATTGATTATTTTAATATATATATATATATATAAATGGAACCAGCACAGGGGTGTGATGTTATGATTGATTATTTTAATATATATATATAATAAAATAAAAGAAAAGATGGGTATAAAGAAAGTGGGGGATGTGGGCGGTGGATGTGTGATAATGGTTTTGGATGGAGAATGGAAAAGGGGATAGAATAATAAGGAGAAAAGGGAATGGGAAGATTAAAATAAAAAGAAAGGAAAGAGAGGGACACAACTTGTGGGTTCCGGCAACCACAACTAACGGAATAGCATAATTGTGAGCAGCAAGTGCAACCATCCTCATCCCAACAGATGCTATGACCACACTATTGACCATCACAGCATGAACACCAACTATCACCATGTTTACTCGTGAAATCATGGCAAACACTGCAGAATCGGTAACTACAGTACTCTGCACACCTCTTTTGACCAACTCTTTTGCAAGAACATGCCCTTGGTACCTTGGAGCACCCTCAGAAGAATTCTGGCAGGCTAGACGACGGTGACCCGCCCGAGACCCGGATATCCTCTCCGGTAACCGGTGGAATTGTCGGTGCAGAAACGTGGGTGGTCTGTTGAGAAGACAGGCTGAGAGACAGACCTTGAGGAGCGCGTGGAATGTCACGCGCCACCGTGGGGTCAATTGAACTTATACATGAGCTTCGAGAGGAGGGCCGAGATGTCTTGGGAGTAGGCGGAGCCGCCGGCGGAAGTCACGGCCTGAAGCGGGATGCCAACGAACTGTTGGGTCTGGTTGGGCGGTCGCGTGGGGGAGATTTTGTGGGTTGAAAGAGTTTCCGGAGCGGCGGTGGAGTTGAGGAAAACGAAGTTTCCCGGTGGCGGCTGATGGTGGTGGTGTTGCTGTTGTTGTTTATTGAGTGTATGGGCTGTTGTGTGTTAAGAATTGGTGCAAGAATGGAAGAGAGAGACAAGAGTTTAGTTAAGGAATTTGTGGCAGCAGAGGGAAACCCCACATAGAACATACACCAACTGAGCCACCACAATGAACCACCATGATGAGTTCAGCACCACCGCTGCCCCCGCCAGGCCCCACCCCAACTTCATCATCAAAACCCAACTGAAAAAAGCATGCAAAACCAACACCAACCCCGCTATCACCGCCATCGCCATGAACTTTCCCTGTGCCTGAAGAAACTTCGCGAGCGGGTAGTTCATGGTGTAGGCGAAGAGCTGTGGAATCATCCACAGCGCGAATTTGCCTGCTTCCTCGGATATTTGGTCGGTTTGGCCGATGATTTTTAAAATGTGTGTTGCGAAGATGTAAACAAATACTAACATGAGAGCAGTGGTGTTGAGGATGAGCCACGACCTTTGCATGTAGATCCCTAGTATTTCGAGTTGCCCGGCTCCGAATGCTATCCCACATAGGGTTTCTAGAGCACTTCCCATGCCCCACTGTAATAGCGTTGAGAGAGTGAGTGAGTTTCGTCGATGAAAACTAACTGGACAAAAAATAAAATAAAAGAACATAATAATGATCCTATGGTTTTTTTTTTCTTTTAATTTTATTTTATTTATTTCAAGGTTGAACATAGAAATAGTGGAGGTGAAGTTTTAAGCATAAGATAGATTAAGCCGGGAAAGTATCCTGCCATTGAGTAATTTTACGTTTTATGTTGAGGTTGTATCCAATTAATAATAAAAATTTAAAAAAAAAATAATAAAAAAATGGCAATACATCATTGAATAAGCACACGACTAAGCGATCATTCTAATCCAAGTAATAACGAGGCATTTTGACAAATGAATTAAAAGTTACTTTTTAATTTTTAACTCATTTCATCTCTCAAAATAAAACAAAAACAAAAAAAAAATAAAAATAAAAAATTAATTTTTAATTATCTTTCCAAAACGTTCTAACATTTGGGCCTGGTGACCATGAGGTGGCACGGAAGAGATTCAAATTGATGGGCATTAGGAAAGTATTAGGTCAAAATTGTTAAAATATTCAACCTAAAGGCAGGGGATCACTTCCTAACAATAATAAAAGAGAGCAATTTGTTGAAAGACATTGGAAGTTAGAGAGGGAATTGGCTAAACTTTAGGAGCTCTCTATAATTTTTTTTAAATACACATTTATTTTATATTTAAATTATAAATTTAGGTAAGACCTTAAAAATAAAAAAAATAATAAAAAAAGGTGAGCGTCCTTTTTCCGTTATCAATTCCAAATCTCTAGCCAAACTCTTTCTTTTTTTCTTTTTCAAATACTTTTTCAAATCATGATTTAAACACAATCTTAATAAAAAAACAAATTAAAAATAAAGTAGTATCTAAAAGCACCCATAATATTAAAGTTTAGAATTTTAGTTACAATAATTAAAGAAGAAAACAAATTTTACATAAAATATTCCGTAATATAAAAAATCAATAAAAATATTATTCAAATTAATACTTCAAGTAATAAAAAAAAATCCAATTGAGCTTTTAGTTGGGCCGACATTGTTCCCTAAAACATAGAACCAGACAGAGAAAATAGGAGATGGCTACTGTCGGGCCCGTGGACCCATGACAGTTACCGTTTCGATAAGTCAAATATTTTAATGTGTAGAATTCGTCGAGTATTTTATACATATAAAAAATCACATTGATCGAATATCGATACTCCTTTGATTTTAAAAATAAATTGTTAACAAAAATGTGTTCCGATCAAGAAACTACCGATATCTAATTAACATAATTTTTTACAGATATACAGTATTTAATGAATTTTATATATTAAACGGTTTAGATTATCGAGCAGCACTTACAATGAATCCTACAAGTCTAGCAGTACATTCCAATCTACTATGTTGTGAACTGGAGAGAAACTATCTCCTAGAAAATATATTGAGGAACAAAATTTTGCAGAAGTAAACCGTACCATGATGCCATAAGCAAATCCTGCAATAATGGAGTTCTCAACTGAAACCGCAGCGAGTTCGCTAGTTCCGAGCTGTCCAGCGAAGACTTTAGTAATGGCACCAAGAGAGTACTGGCAAATGGAGGTGAAGATGGCTGGACTGGCTAAGAACCAGAGCTTCTTCGACTCGGCATAGAATTCTCTGAAGAAGGTTTGGATTTGGCTACTACCCAAAAATGGTGAACTTGAAAAAAATGTGTTTGATGAATGGGCTGGATTATTATGGTCATTGTCCCTTGAGGATGAAGTGGGTATTCACCTCCATTTCCCATGGCAAAGAATGAGGGAGGAAAGGACTCTAGTGTTGCTTTCTTAATTTGTTAAGTTAGAAATTGAGATTTATAGAAGAGCATGTTACTCATAAATAAAATTTTTTTCCTCATCCAGCGCCGATCCTGTAAAGTCAAACTCTGAACTTTGAATATTAATGTTAGCTGCACAAGGAGAGAAAATGGGAAAATTGCACTTCAGTGCTTGTTTTAAAAATAATAAAAAAAAAATTTATAAATCAATGATAAACTTTACAACTTTAATAATTAAAGTTACAAATTTTTTTTATGACTTTGTAAAAAATTTGTGAAAAATGTTCACTAATTTGTAATTTTTCTAAAAAAAAAATCAATACTATTGATGCATGATATTACTGTTCAATAATAAATTATCATACAAATATAATTAATCTCATTTTACAGATATACAAGTTATTAGATTAATAACTATATTTGACCAAAAAATTTCACTTAATCATACGTTATTTTTGTTAGACAATATTCAATATATTCATAGAAAGAAAATTAAGAAAGGAGAGATTCTATTTGATTACAAAAATCGACACAGAGTATGGAAACAAAAATAAGAAAAAATCAGATTTTTATTCTGTTACAAAAACAAAACAGAATCTGGAAAAAATAAATAATGAAAACAGAAAATCAAACCAAATACTTACAGTATTATCTTCTCAGAAAATTCGATCAAGTCCACTGTTGAACACTGTGTCCTTAAGACAGATCTGTCCTCTCCACGATACTTTCAAATTATGAACTCTACCTCACAGGATAAAATGATCAACGTCAACTAGTAGCAACACTCCCAACTAATTGCCCAACGAACACACTCTGTGTTTATACTCTTTCTCACAGAAAATTTATGCAGCAAAATGTAGGAAGTAAAAGCAGAAAAGAAAAACGAAAATTTAAATTAAAACAAATGGAGGACTTGTCTATTTATAAGAGACTTAGTGGCTATTCAGGACAAAGTTAAACAGGCATGGAACTTGTTCGGTACAGTTTTGAACAGGTAAAGAATCTGTTCGGGTTGGATTTGAACAGGTAAAGCACCTGTTCGGGTTGGTGAGAAAGCTGTGTTGGACCAAACTGCCAACGTTTTTTAACGTTGGGGTCATTTCAGAATTTATTTTGAATTTCAACCGAAATTCAAATTCCAATAGAAAAAATAAATTTCAAATGTTTTCAGCCCAAAAAGAAAAGCATTGAGCCGAACAAGTCTAACCCAACCTCACATCACGCAACCAAGCCCAGCCCATCCAAACGGACGACGATGCGCGTGTGTTTGTTTTGGGTCCAATAGGTTTATCCCACTTTGCCCACAACCTCACCTTTCCACAAAACTTGGGTACCCTTGGGGCCACCATGCACCCAAGCCCAGCCCAGCCCAGCCCGCCCAAATAGACGACGATGTGTATGTGTTTGTTTTGGATCCAATGGGTTTATCTCATTTTGCCCACAATCTCACCATTCCACAAAACTTGGATACCGTTTAGGGCCTTCCCCAAGATGCAAACTCAAAGCATATAAACCCACACAAAGTTTGCCCACCAAAGTAATGTGGGACAAACCTTGACTCCATTATTTATGGAAATTTTACCAAAACTCCATTTTTACAGAGCTCATTTTAGCATCGATTTCCCATTCACCTGATATTGGTTTTGAGCAATCAAATATATGGCGTGAATGGTTACGCGGCAAAGAACGCATTGCCATATGGACCTGCCAACTTTGGCACATGGGTCTCACTTAAAAAATTGACTAAAACTTAAGAAAAATTTGGGCTGTGTTTGGTAAGGTTTTGAAAAGTTGATTCTAGACTTTGGTTTGAGTGTCGTGTTTGGTTAGAGTTTTCAAAAATTGATTCCACACCACTTTTGAAAATACATCTACCCGAACATCTCCCCTGTGAGTTATATACACATTTATGAGGCAATTTCTTATTCAACCATTTTTCTCCAACAACCCGGACGTCTGGCCGATTGATCAGAACAGTGTTTGTTTTGTTTTTTTTTTTTTTTTGCACCTGCTATTTTTATATTTTAAATAACAAATATTTTTGAACTTTTTTAAAAAAAATTTATGAGTTTTGAATAGAATTTTGGATTGTGTGTTTGGTTATGAGTTATAGGTCATGTTTGATTCACAATACTAATAGTGAGGTATTAATAATCCTATCAAATTAGTGTGGTATTAATTATCATACCCCTACCCCATTACTAATAATCCTACAAATTTGTTGGATTAATTATCCATTGGATTAATAGTCCTAAATCAAAATGTCAAAACAAACATAGGATGATTGGGCCCACGGATTAATAATCCTAATCCCATGCTTTAATCCTTCCAATCAAACATGCCCATAGAGTCCAGATCCTTGGTAGCACTTTTCTGCGGCCCTCCCTGCCGCGCATCAAAACGATGTCGTTTTGACTATTTTGTTTTTTTTCTCCACCTCTTATTTTCAGCCCTTTTGGTTGTTCAGCCCTAGCCCCTCTGAGAGAGACGAACTGAGCTAAATAGATCATTGAACGGGAGAGGCGACGAACGCGAGCCGGTGAAAGACGAAGACAGAGAGGCGGCGGTGAGGCGAGTGGATTCGGCGAGAGACGAACACAGATTTGGTGTTGATTTGTTGAGGTTTGACGAGGTTCATTTCATATCTCTCTCTCTCTCTCTCTCTTTTCTCTCTCTCTCTTTCCCTTTCTTCTTTGATTCATCCAAAAAGAGCCTTCAAATTACCTAGAAATTTCATCTCTCTCTCTCTCACCCCTTACTTCTGTTGAATTTTGTGGGCTATTTTTGTGAAATTTTATTAATTTGTGAAATTGTGGAAGCTGAGGTTTTATTAATTTGTTAAGGTTTTACTAATTCTATCCATTTTTTCATTAAATGGAATGATTTGTTGAGGTTTGCTGATTCCAGAGGTTGAAAAGCATAATTTTCACTATATATATACATTTGGCTAAAGTGAGTATATATATATATACATTTTATCATCTAATGGAATGATTTGGCTAAAGTGAGTAGTATGGAGAAGGATATAAAGTAATATGAACCAGTAGAGGCTTGGAAAAACTGATGTTGGTGATTTACATGTGAGTTATAATTGTTGAGATTGTTGTTGAAGAAAATGGAAAGCCTTATTGAGTGTTCATTGAGCTGTAATAGATAACAAAAATACCCCAGCTATGCCCAATTCCTCTTGAACCTAAGTTGAGTCTGTTTGTCCCTCCATTGAGCTATAACAGACAACAAAAATACCCCATGCTATGCCCAATTCCTCTTGGACCTGAGCTGAGTCAGTTTGTCCCTCCATTGAGTTGTAATAGACAACAAAAATACCAAGACTCAAGAACTACAATAGTAGTAAAACAACTATTATATTGGGTAAGGAAAATGAGGCTGTTTCGACTCCAATGTAAATCTCTAATGTTTTGATGCATAGCTGCCCACTAGGCCTGGAACACAACACCATGCATTGCTTCAAGCGATTTACATTTGCTCATAAAGATAGATAATTATTGTGGTCATAACTATTTAATTTTTTACATGCTTAATTAGCTGCTTAGATTAAGGTTCTATAGTTACATCTGAAATTGACTTTTGTCTTTACTTGTAATTAGGATTAAAATGTCAATGGGTTTAAACAATGATGCTGGATTCTTGCAAAATAAACGATGCAAATGTGGGAAAAAAGCAGGAGTGTACATATCAAAATAAGAGAAAAATCCAGGGAGGTTGTATTTCAAGTGTGCAGATAATATTTGTAACTAATTTGCATATGGAGTGGCTCCAACTGGGAATGCATCAACTATCCAAAGGAGAAGTAAAGCTATTCATATGAAGAATGAAGATGAGAGCGAGTATGATTATGATTTTGAGAGAACCAATAAAGTTTTGAATATCTTGGAACGACTTAAGGCAAACCAACGAGAACGACTTGAAGTTATGAAATTCTTGATGTTGACAACCATAGTGATGGTTGGTTTTACCGTGCTAATGGTGCTGCTCAAGTGAATGTATCCATTTCTACTGAATATAACCAATGCTTGTAGAACTTGTATTTGGTTTTGAAGCTTTTATATGTGCATGTAAAATCCAAACAATGCTTAATTAATGAAGTTACTATGCTATCTTTCAATTGTGTTAATTAATGAAATTGAGTGTTATGTATATTCACAATTATAACAGCATTTGTTTTTGCATATAATGACCAATAACGATTTAGATGACGTATTTTAAATAAATTGTACCAATTTAATTATATATATATATGCATGCATTCTACTCAAATATATATAAAGAATCTATCCATCCCTATCCCAAATATATCTATATATGCATGCATTTTACACTATGGATCAAACATACATAAAAATCGAAAAAATCATACCATATGAATTATGCTCTCAAGAATCAAAGCATAAGACTTCTTCTATCATAGCATAACAATTCTGCTCTCAACAATTCTGTTGTCATTCATAGCATAAGAATTAAAAAAACAACATTGTTTCCATTGAAAACATCCAACATCATAAAGCCAACCAACACCCATGAAACAAACAAACGGCCAACACCCAACATTCTGCTCTCAAGAATCATAGCATAAGAATTCTGCTATCATAGCATAACAATTTTGCTCTCAACAATTCTGCTGTCATTCATAGCTTAAGAATAAAAAAAAACAACATTGTTCCCATTGAAAACATCCAACATCATAAAACCAATCAACATCCATGAAACAAACATACAGCCAACACCCAACATCATAAAACCAACATATTCGTCTCACTCATACAACCAACATCTAATAGGATAACCATCACTAACATCAAAAAAGAACATTGTTCCCAAACATTAAAAAAAATATATAAAAAAGATGTCCATAAAAAATATCCAAATCCGAACAACATAAAAAAATACACCCAAATCCAAAAATATAATAACATCATCGCTCAGTGTAAGCCTTCCAGGGATGTCCATCCACATGACGGTTAGCAGGACTATGTGAGGCTTGCGACAGTTGGACTGCAAAGTGTTGAACACTAGTACCTCGAAACAACTCCTGAAACGATGTCTGAGTGGGATAGACTAAAGGCATTGACTGAGGCGTGTTATTTCCCTGCAATAGTGCTACATTTATTAAAATATTTATACAATGTATACTACCATTTCAATGTAAAGTATGTAATCAATTATAACTCACATCATATGTAGGATACATGACATGATGAAGACTTGTACAACCCATGGCAAAGGGAGGTTGAGATTGGGATTCAGGAAAAGATTGAGAAATATAGACACCATGACCATGACCATGACCCTAAAGTAAACGAAAATAAAGAAAATAATATATGAAATGAAAAAAAAAATGAATAATGCATTTTCATTTTAAAAAAACACACAATATAAAATATTACCTCAACATAATTACTACCCATGGCGAAATGAAGTCAAGATTGACCTTGGGGAGTATAAACAGCAACACCCTATATAGCCAATGCACCAAAAAAACAAAATTCACATGACTAGATTGCAAGAAGAACCAATTGAAGATATGTGGGAATCTTAGTTAATAAAGTAAAACAATGATTCCATATGAGGTTCAATTTCCCTAAGGTCTATGCATGTCAATGGTTGCATACAATATTAAATATTACTTATATTGAATGATTACCCATGGCGGAAGAAGGTTGAGATTAACCTTGGGAAGCAGGAAAAGAACCACCCTACATGCATCACAAAAGATCCAAAATAATAAATATCATGTTACTAATTGCAATAATAACCAATCCAATAAGATTAATACAAGGTTGCACACATTAGTAAATATTACCTAACTAGAATTATTACCCACGGCGACAGGAGGCTCAGATTAACCTTTGGGAGTACAAAAAGCATCACCCTGCAAACGACCAATTTATTTAATTCATTATTTTTCCAACACACAACACAAAATTGATAACACATATCACATAACACATAACAATCACGCATAGCAAAATATCATTTAATCATATGCAACATTTTCGTGCAATTACTTGCTTAGATTGCATCATTTTCTTCTTTGCAATAGATTTTTCCATCTCGTCCTTGATCCTCCTTCTTCCCTTACTAGTTACTTGTCTTTTCTTCAGTCCCTTAGATTGGATTGGACAATCTACTTCATCACTCTATGGGCATGTGTTAGTTGAGGAATTTCTCAATTCAGTGACCTCCACTTGACCACAAGTGTGCACACTTAATTTTTCTTCAATTATTACACTCAATTCTTCACCTTTTGCAAGTGACAAATGATAAGTTTCTTCACTTTCAGCAGCTCTACTTGCTATTGCTCTAAACATATTCATCAATGACCTATATCGGTCACTTTGATGTAGTTTCACATCAGCCTTAACGTCATACCCACAGCTATCTTTCACACTTTCAGCCCTTGCTTTTTTAGTCCATCATTTCAGTATGTATTATGCAGGAAGGTCCGTTGCATTTAATATATCTCTAAGCACCTTCAAACAATGTCAGCACACTATGCCCTTCACTTCAAACTTCTTACAACTACAACTCAAAGAACCATCTCTATCCATTGTCACATTCTTATCTTTTTTTCCATCTACCACCGTTCGAAATGTGAATATGGTATGCTCACCATCGTTAATAGTGCCTACAATGGACGCTTCAATGGACTGCACGTACTCATTTTGGAATTCCTCAAAAATTGTTTTGGTGTAAATATCTGCTATTTGCTTTAACATCAAAGTTGGAATGGAAACCCTTGGCAATTTTTGGGACAAATTATACTCGACTTCCAATTCTTTATACCTCTTGCCATAGAGCACCCTCTCAAAATGCATGAAAAATTCCATCAAGTTATGATCATAATTGAGATAATCCTTGAAAAATACATTGAATGATTCACTTAGTTGAATAGTACTCATTCCAGTTGCCCAAGAATTCATAATATATGGCCATCCCCATTTCTCCTTCACACAAAAAGTCTGCTCCAACCAATGATTGTTGCGTGCATCATATCTATCAAGCATTTGGTCCCATTGTATTTTGAATTATTCTTCATCATCAATTTCATGCATAAATTTTGAAAACACACCCTTCACTCCTACATCTCCAAAAAGAGAACTTACATGCTTCACAACATTTTGCATCAAATGCCATGTGCAAAGTCGGTGGTTTGTATTAGGCATGACAATTGGAATGGCCTTAGCTATCGCAGCATCTTGATCTGTGAAAATAGTTTTTGGAGTTTTGTTTGACATTGCCTTCAAAAAAATCTGAAACAACTATATGAATTATTCGGTAGTCTCATCAGACATCAATGCTGCACCGAATATAACTATTTCTCGATGATGATTAAATCCAACAAAGGTTCCAAAAGGTCTATGCTCGTTATTTAATTTGTAAGTAGTGTCAAAGGTCACTACATCACCAAATTGAGCATAGTCCATTATCATTTGGGCATTGATCCAAAATATATTACTTATCTGCTCTTCACAATCTAATTGGACTGCATAATAAAAGGATGGATTTTTCACAGTTTTCTTACGAAAGTACTGCAACACACTACCCGCTTCTCCATATTCCAAATCCTTTTGTCTCTTCGATCTCAAGTAATTTTTTTGGTCTAATTTGATGAAGCCAAGTGATGCTTTTCTACCAGATTCCCTACAAAATAGCTCATAAGCAGACCTAAGAGAAATTCCAAATTCTGAAGCCAATTCTACGTCAATTGCTTGGGTGGTAGATATTTTTCTTTGGGATGACAAAATATGAATGCACTTTTGAGGCACAAGGGCATGATTATGATGTTCAACAAAATCAATTGCAACATATTTTCCTAAATTTCTAACTTGATACTCAATCGGGCACTACAACCACATCTCACCTCTTGTCTCGAAAATTTTACTAGTGGATCTCGATTGTCAATACCTCGAGTTCTCTCTTTGTAACATACAAAAGTCTATGAAGTTATTTCCTTAGTTTGTTTGTTTTTGTGTGCGTACGCCTTCCTAATACTAAAGCCCACCTTTCCATCATAGTTATTGTAAAAGTCACGCGCAGCTTGTTCAGAGTCAAATGGCATGCCTAATTTTGGATTCCAGCCATAACTGGCCAACTCATTAACAACGTTATTTTCTTCCATTACCTACAATTTAGTACTATACAAATAATAAAGAAAATAAAAATAACATAAACACCAATCGAATAATGTAATCAAAGTAAGTAGGCTTGGGATATAAATTTTTTCTTTAGGAAATAGGGCAACAATATCCCAACTGCCAAGCAAACAAAAAAAAAAAAAGGCTACACACTTTGCAACTCATTGTTTTTCAAAGCAGACTACAAAACATACTAATGATCAAACTTAGCAATACAAGTTGTGTGCGTGTGTGTTTCTATGTGATCCAAAGACATTAAAATGAGAGCTTATCATACAGTAAAATGAAAAGCTTTGGCTACTTCAAGAGAGATGTATATATTGAAACCAAAAAAATCAAAGACATAAAAACAAAGTGATGGATAGGATTTTTGAGAAGTGGGCCTACAAATAAATTTTGTAAAATTTTATCCATTCATGTGCTTTCTATCCTAGTAGTGTTTGGTTTCTGTGTTTGTAGCATTGTTGATATTAAAACAAGCCTTCTCAACCAACAAAAGAAAATTTAGAGCAATGATCATCACAAATTAAGCTAATTCCCATCAATTGCCAAAGTTTCCAAAGATATAAAAAGAAATATAAGAAATAAGCTAACAATGATCATCACAAATTAAGCTAATGCCTATCAATCGCCAAAGTTTCCAAAGATATAAAAAGAAATATGCTGATAAGAGAGCAATTAACATTTTTTCAAAAGAGCTAAAAATAAGAAATCAAAAAAATTAGAATCATTATTTAAGCACACCCTCCACCAACACAGACACAAACCCAAAAATCACAAGAGAAAGAAGGGAACAACAACCAAAAAAAGCAAAAACGAGGTCAGCATGGCACACATTGATTTGCAGAATTGACACTCAACCCACAAATGCATGATAAAGAATAACAATTTTGATCTAGAAATGGAAAACCCACTATCCAGATGTGTAGTTTTGACTAAAATCAAGCAGTACCCACTCATGAATCATGAATGTAGATCATAAAGAACACAAAAATGCACAAATAGCTTTCGAAATTTCAAACAACACAAACAGACCTAGTTATATATGTATATATGTCTATATCAGCAAGAAAAATCTAAAATGATGAAACAACATTGTGTAATCGTTTGGATCTTCAGTGAATAAATTTGGATTCAAACTCTAATCTCAAACCTTGCACCCCATTTTGGCCAAACTATTTTCGACCTTAAAACCCTCATTTTAATTTTTTTTTTCAAATGCTTCTACGATGTTCCGGGGGCTCGCATTTTGTTTAAAATATTGCACTTTTCGGTAAACTGAGTAAGGACAAAGTGGAGATACATGAAAGGGAGGTGAACTGGTTAGAAAATATTTAAACCATCTTATTTATAGGTTTGGAGTTGAAGAAAATATGAGGGGAGGGAAAAAACTAGTTTAGAAAGAAGTTGAATATCAAACCGTTGATAAAGAATGAGTAACCTTTACTAAAATAGACATATCTTTGAAAACTTATAATTTAGATATGAGGCCACCACCATTGGAAACTAAACTTTCGGGGCTTCAATTTAGACTTAAAAATCACCTAAAACCAAGTCCGAATGAGGGAGATATGCCTGTTTGAAATCGGGCCTGAAGTGCAGTCATTAAGACCCGGCCGGGTCCATTGAGAACTGACTGGGCCTCAATGAAAATTTCTCCAGAGTGTTTTTTTAGACCTTGCCTTGTATTTTTAGGCCCGGTCGTGCATTATTGAGGCTCAACCGTGTGTTTTAAGGCTCGGTCGGGTCTCAGTGATGAGAAACAGACAGCTAACAGGAATTGAACAAATATCTTTGTTTGAAGATATTTTGGACTTTTTTGGCTCAAACTTTATAAATAGAACCTCTTCCTTCAAAATTCAAGGTTAGAAAATTTTCCAAAAGGCTTTGAGAGCTAAAACCATCTTCCTTATTCCTTTGACCTTCAAACCTTCTTTAGCTATACATACACAATACATACACCATTCGAGCTTGTTCTTGAAACTTTTTGCTAGAGTTTCAAACCATATTTCATAAACTTGAGGGTGTTTGGAATCAAGTTTGATCAACAACCAAAGCTTACTCTTTTCAAAAGCTATAAGCTTGTCATTTTTGTTTTGCTTTCATTTCAACATATCTCTATCTATTTCTTGTGTTCTTATGCTGTTTTAGGCCCATTTTAAGTGTTGAACATGGGTTTCAATAAGCTACCAAAGGTAGAGAGGGTTAACACCATTTCTTGCACCTTACTCCATAGCTCATCCCCTTTGTTTTATCACTATTTTTCTTAGCTTACAAACTAATTTTCAGAGGTTTAAAGGGCTGAAAAACATGGTTTAAAATTCTAAAAAGTGGAGAGGTTAGCCACCATTCCTTAGACTTGCTTACTAGCTTTGTTCTCTTTAATCTTTGCTTACTTGTTCTAGCTTTTCAAACTTTTTTTTTTAGCTTGTTTTTGGGGCTGTCTTGTCATTGTTTTTTTTTGGTTTTAGGGGCTATTTGACTCATTTAATTACTTTATGCTTTGAATATCATGCTTGTAGTGCAAGCTTGCTTGTCTAGCTTGTCCTCTCATATTTTTGTTCACTTTCTTCCCATTTTTGAAATAGTTTTGTCACTGTTTTTTGTATATTAGGGTTTGTTTTAGGGCTGTCCTAATTTATTTAATTACTTCAATCTTTGATTAGTTCATTTGTTGTATCATAAGTCCTTGTACATAGTTTGTTGCATGTTGTTCTAGCTTTTCTTTAACTCATTTCCATGTATAAGGACCTCATTTTGATAATCAACTTGACATTCATCTCTTTCATTTGAGAGTTGTTTCAATTGGTTGATGGTTATTCAAAACATAAACTAGCGATTTACGCTTAATGGCTTAATCTCTACGGAGGTTCATTGCCAACGATGTAGTCTCTTTTTCATGTACTCATTTAATTACTTTATGCTTTGAATATCATGCTTGTAGTGCAAGCTTGCTTGTCTAGCTTGTCCTCTCATATTTTTGTTCACTTTCTTCCCATTTTTGAAATAGTTTTGTCACTGTTTTTTGTATATTAGGGTTTGTTTTAGGGCTGTCCTAATTTATTTAATTACTTCAATCTTTGATTAGTTCATTTGTTGTATCATAAGTCCTTGTACATAGTTTGTTGCATGTTGTTCTAGCTTTTCTTCAACTCATTTCCATGTATAAGGACCTCATTTTGATAATCAACTTGACATTCATCTCTTTCATTTGAGAGTTATTTCAATTGGTTGACGGTTATTCAAAACATAAACTAGAGATTTACGCTTAATGGCTTAATCTCTACGGAGGTTCATTGCCAACGATGTAGTCTCTTTTTCATGTTGAGAATTACTTCCTGTTTGACGCTTCTCTCCTTTTAGAGGACTTAATCATCACTTTGGACAAATGGACTAAAGAATAAAAATGACTAAAAGAATTGGCTTAAAAGCAATCAACACACATAAAGAAAATGAATCATCTTGCTTGGGCTTGGCCGGATGTTATGCCAAGTTTATTGAGTCAAGAATGATCATGCGCTAATTCATGGCATTTTTTATGATTCTTGAAGCGTCTCTACTTCCCTTTTTTGAATTCATTCCATGATAAGAAGGGATGAGTGGCCATATTCATTACATTTATTGATTTTTGTCCAAAATTGCATCCGAAACCATCAAGCAATCAATTTGCTCATTGATGGCTTTGGAAGCAATTCCAACATTCTCTCGAGGCTTTTCTATGATAAAAAATGAAGGAAGAGACAAACAGAGCTTGAACAATTTTGTCTGCACTGTTTTCACTTCAGAACACAAAATAGAGTTTTGCACAAAATTGAAGCACGGCTGGCCTTCTCAATGAAGCCCGACCAGCCCTCAATGTTTGGTCAGCAGTGTATTTTTGTAGAAAACAGAGGCCGGTGGCTGAAGGTGAAACACAGCAAGCTTGGGGCAGACAGAGCTATTCTAGAACATTGTGCATGTGCATACATGCAATTCTTATGCATCCTCGTTTAAATTATGATTATTGTAATTAATTAATTTACTTTTGTTTGTTGTAATTAGTCTCGTTAATTATTAAGTATTGTAATAATTATTATTGTCCCTTGGTAGTCGTTGTACTTGATTAGTTTAAATAGTGAGTTTATTTATCTTGGTTATCCTTGTTGTAATAGTATAGTTAGCTAGTTAATTAACCTCACTTATTTATTCATTTGGTTTTGTAATAATTAATTAAATTCGGACTTTTGGACTTTGATTCGCACACTTCTGTGCGAAGGCAATGTTGTAATAATGTGTATGTCTTCCAACCCCACGTCTTTCTCCTTTTTACTTACTTGCTTATGATGTTTAGATTAGAACATTATATTTTGTTTAACATATTCCATGTTTGCATCCACTTGTATTGCATACATCGAGGCTTGATTCATTATTCTAATTTGCATTGTTAGTTTAACGCTTTTTTGAATACGTGCTTAGACCACATGCTATCAAATTAATTTATATGCCATATTAGTAGCTGAGCCTAGTAATTACATATCGCATGTGTTGCATTAGTCATATCGCATACTTAGTATCATGCATTTTTCTAACTCTTTTATCTTTTTGGCTTAGAGTACTAGGTGAGCTTTTATTTGTTTTAGCATATTGCATAAGTATGGTTGTTGCCATGTAAAAGCATGTTCCCATGAGGTTAAGTGCTTAAATGATAAATTGCTTGAATGTCTGTGGATGAAGGCTAGTTACTCAAATTGGAATAATTTGATGAATGTATCTTTAAGCCCACCTTTTCAAGTGGCACATTTGCAAACACTCTTTTCAAAAACAAACATGAAATTAAAATGTTCCCATTTTTGCAAATTAGTCTATACTTATATGTACGTCACATAGTAAAGTTAACCTAATAAATCGGAACAAGAGCATATAATGTAAATAAAAATCACATCAAGATTAGTAGAGGCCGATCTTTGATCGGACGAGTGAGGGTGCTCAATTCATGACCTTCTCCACTCGTACCTAAGTTCCTGAACCGAGACACTCTTGGTAATGATGGACATGCGGCCTTTGGCACGAGTTTCAGGTTTCCTAAATTTCTCAAAAAATATCTAGGTGGCGACTTTATATCTGGCAAAGTAGTCCATTTTTTGGCATTTTGATTCAAAATCGATTTTCCAAAAGATTTGTCGGATTTGGACTCTTTTGTGTTTATCTATTTCACATTACACTTATGGAATTAGATTCAGAACCACAGAAGTCCGAACTGTAGGGCTTCTCGTCTTCCGAAAGGAGCACGAAAAGTCAAGCTACAAACACGTTAAACAATGAATCAGCTAAGCCATTTAGAATAGAGTTCGAGCAAAGGAAGTCTGACTGCTTCCAAGCATTTAGAGCTATGAGCTTCTGTTTGTCTTGCCCATTCTCCTCCACTGTCGGTGGATCCTCACTCAAAAATCACACAAGGCTAAGAGTAGTAAGGTAGAATAACATCTTTCACTGCCACCTCTTGAAATTCACTCCAGTGAACTTCTCTGGGCTCTTATGATGGTTAAACGGTCCTTCCGGAATAGCAGGAGCAGCATCAGAGTTGACCACAAAGGTCACAACAACAGGGTTGACCACGGAGGTCACAGTAGGGGTTATCTAGCCAGTTGCCTCGGGGTTTTGATCCCCACCAACATTAACAGCAGCAACAACAGCATCAGTGACAGTTGCTATTTCTGAAAAATACAACTGAATTTCACTATGCACTACAAAAAAATTGACTTTTTACGGTACCACATCAACAGCATACAATAAATACATGCCCCAAAAGGCTCTATAACTCCCACGAAAAGTCAAGCTACAAACTTGGACTGAGCCTATCCTTTAAGCATCTATAACTCCATTCTTTCGAAAAATTTGGATGCCCCAAAGGGCTCATGCCCTTATCAAAATTTTGAGGTTTAAAACTCATCAAAATTTTTCTTTACAATCAATGTAGAATTGGTAGTTATACACAATTTCCAATACCTCATTCATCAGACCAACTTTATGAGATAATTTTTTATTCAATTCTTAATGGTTTTTTGTCATTCTTTTTGTGGTGTAAAGATCTTGTTATAAACAATTTAAACTCATTTAATCCCACCTCTACCAAATGGTTGAGACATACTTTAATTTCACATTAAAGTCACAAAAGGAGTATGTTATCATTTCATCATTACTACCAACAATGAGTATGTTATTGACGTATAGATACAAAATGACATAGCCTCTGTCTATATCTTTGACATATACGCATTTGTCACACTCATTGATTTTAAACCTATTTGACAATATAGCATTGTCAAACTTCTCATGTCATTGCTTAGGAGCTTGTTTCAAACCATATAATGACTTGACAAGCTTATAGCATTTCTTATTTTAGCTGGGAGATGAATACTTCTCGCGTTGCTCTATGCAGATTTCTTCATCTAAATCTCCATTTAAGAAAGTTGTCTTTACATCTATTTGATGTATTTCCGGACCACATAAAGTGGTTATCGCAATCATCATGCGAATAGATGTAATCCTTATCACCGGTGAATACATATCAAAGTAATCCAGACCTTCTCGTTGATTATATCCTTTGATAATTAGCCTAGCTTTATAGTTATCAATTGACCCATCCGCTTTCATCTTTTTTCTAAATATCCACTTACTCCCCAAGGCCTTACTGTGTGGGGGTAGATCAACCAACTCATAAATATGGTTCTATAAGATGGAGTCAATCTCACTTTTAATTGCTTCTTTCCATAAAGGGACTTTCAGGTGAAGTTATAATTTCATGGAAAGTTTGAGGTTCTCTCTCTAACATATAAGTCAAGAAGTCCGGGCCAAAGGACTTGGCAGTCCTAACCCTCTTACTCCTTCTTGGCTCAACTACTTCTTCATCTTGATCATTATCACTAGGATCATCTTCAAGTTCCTTTTCAAAACTTTGATTATCTCCTTGGTTTTGGCAAGGAAACACATTCTCAAAGAAAGACGCATTCCTTGACTCCATCATGGTATTCTTGTGTATATCTGAAATATTAGACTTTTGCACAAGAAACCTATATGCACTACTATTCTGTGCATAACCAATGAATATACAATCCATGATTTTCGGACCTATCCTAACCCACTTGGGTGTTGGTACCACCACTTTTGCAAGACACTCGCACATTCGTAGGAAATTATAAGAAAGCTTGCGGCCTTTCCATAATTCATATGGTGTCTTGTTCACTTTCTTCCGAGATATTCTATTTAGAATATAATTCACGGTGAGAATTGCTTTCCTCCATAAGTTCTGCGGCAACCCAGAACTTATCAACATTGCATTCATCATTTCCTTCAACGTCTTATTTTTCCACTCAGCAACACCATTTGACTCAAGGGTATGTAGTTTGGTGGATAATTCCAGATTGAGCACAAACCTCAATAAACGAGGATTCATATTTTCTACCACGATTACTTCTTGAAGCCTTGATCTTTTGGCTTAGTTGATTCGCAACTTCATTCTTGAAAAGAATAAATTTATTAATTATCTCATCTTTGTTTTTAAGTAAATACACATAGCAGTATTTAGTACAATCAACAACAAAAGTGATGAAGTACTTGTTGCCACCACATGATTGTACGACTTTCAAGTCACACACATCACCGTGTACTAAATCTAAAGGTTCGGTACTTCTTTCAACAGAATGAAATGAAGTCTTTGTCAATTTAGCTTCTACACAAGTTTCACACTTATGATTTGGATTAATCTTGAGAGATGGTATGTGACCTAACTTGATTAATCTACACAAAGAGTCAAAATTCACATGACCAAGTCTACCATGTCATAATTCGGGGGACTCAAGCATATAAGCAGAAGTAGAAACTTTCTCATTAAATTTAGGGATAATAGTCATCACATTGAGCTTAAACATACCGCTCGACATATACCCGTTCCCCACATAGACCCCACTCTTGGTCAACACGACCTTATCAGACTAAAACACCATCCAGAAGCTATGCTTGCTTAGGAGTGACCCCGAGATAAGGTTTTTACAAATGTCCGGAACAAATAGGACATCGTTCAGAGTCAACTTTTTTCTTTAAGTCATCTTCAGGACCACTTTGCCTTTACCCTCAACAATTGAGGTCGTAGAATTTCCTACGAACAACTTTTTACTGTTTGAAACCAGTTTAAAAGTTGTGAACATCTTTTTCTCAGCACAGATGTGGTGAGTGGCCTTAGTGTCCACCCATCATTCCTTCGGGTTGGACCCGACCATGTTCATCTCAGAGATGACAACTGATAGATGCATGTCATCCACTTCTTATGGAAGATCCTCTATTTCAACCATGTGAGCCTGGCTTTCGTTCTGTAGAGGGTACTTCTTGTAAGGCTTCTTCTTTTGGCGGTAATCAACCACCCGATGCCTATCGCTTCCATAGTTGAAGTACTTTCCATTGAACCTGAAAGTAGATTCCTTCGACTTGTAGACCGACCTTTTGGAGACACCGCTTCTTGCCCCCAGTTTTGAACTTTTGCCTGTACGTGGCTTCTTTTTTACTTTTGAGGATTGGCCATGCTCAACCATGTTTACTTTCACAGTGGAGGTATTCCCCCATTTCCTCCTGTTGTCTTCTTTAATCCAGAGCCTGATAACGAGCTCTTCGACTGTCATCTCTTTTCTTTTATGCTTCAAGTAGTTCTTGAAGTCTTTTCAGCTGTTAGGCAGCTTTTCAATCAATGTAGCTGCTTAGAATGATTCATTCAGGAACATTTCCTCTACATGAATCTCGTGCAGCATTACATGGAAATCTTGGACTTGACTGATGACGGATTTTGAGTCCACCATTTTGAAGTCCAAAAATCAACCAATGACAAATTTCTTTACCCCAACATCCTCGGTCTTGTACTTCTTGTCCAAAGCATCCCACAGCTCATTTGCCAGCTTCTTGGCATAGACCACATTGAATAGTGAATCAGCCAAGCCATTCAGAATATAGTTCTGGCAAAGGAAGTCTGACTGCTTTCAAGCATCTATGGCTATGAGCTTCTGCTTGTCTTGCCCATTCTCCTCCACTGCCGGTGGATCCTCACTCAAAAACCTCGCAAGGCTAAGAGTAGGAAGGTAGAATAACATCTTCTGCTATCACCTCTTGAAATTCACTCTAGTGAACTTCTCCAGGCTCTCATGATGATTGAGTGGTCCTCCCGGAACAACAGGAGTAGTAATAGAGTTGACCACAGAGGTCACAACAATAGGGTTGACCACAGAGATCACAACAGGGGTTGGCAAGCCAGTTGTCTCAGGGTTCTGATCCCCACCAACATTAGCAGCAGCAGCAACAACATTAGTGATAGTTGTCATTTCTGAAAAATACAACATAATTTTACTATTCACTACAACAAAATTGACTTTTTACGGCAACACATCAACGGCATACAATAAATACACGTCGTAGTTTCTCACTTTTACGACTTGCTTTTTTTGCACGTCGTAAATATTTTTCCAACCACGGCATGTCTATTGCGTACGCCGTGAATGGTAATAATGATGATTTTTTTACAGCTTGCAATGCATGCCGTAAAGAATAAAACTTTCTACGATGTACATACGGTGTGTCGTTAATACATCAATTATATACGACGCACATATGCTAGTCATGAAAAGTGAATACTTTTCACGGCGCATACAACGCCCGCCATTAAAGTATTGCATTTTTTACGATGCACACATCGCCTGCCATTAAAAATTTTACCTTTTTACGACGCACAATGCATGTCGTGAATTGTATAATAAAAAAAATAAAAATAAAGTGCCAAAATAAAATTTGGGACGCCAATCACCAAAAAAAAAAAAGAACAAAAATATTATAATTTTTTTTTTCAAAGTAACTATGTTGCTTTCCTCTAATTAGAATAGAACATCACAAGGGTTTCAATCTCTCTCTCTGATGATGATGAAGGCCAAATCAATTGCTAGGGTTACCAACATCATCTCATCTTTTCGCTTCGGTTATGTATCTGAAACCAAAGGTATCTATCGTCGTCTCATGCTTCTCTTCTCTTTTTGGTTGTGTATCTGAAATCCCTAATCTATTCTTCACAAATAGGTTCTCTCTCTGATCTCTGTTGCTCTCTCTCACAGAGTCACTACCGTCACTCATCTCAATGTCACATAAGACCACATAGTGTTCGTCAATCTTCCACCGTCGCTCATCGTCGCACATCATCACATTGCTACCACCGCTCACCATTCCCCTGTCAATCACCACCACCATTGATATCACCATCCCAAACCAGCAACCATTCTCTTCTTATCTTACAGCACGATCCACCACTGGAGCACTACCCCCAGGCATGTCCTTTATATTTTTCGCTCTGTGTGTGTATCTCTATCTCTTTCTCTCTTCTCCCAATTTCAATGTCTAGGATTTTTTGTTCCCTTCGCATACCTTCACGCAAACCCACCCCCAAATTGACCCACCCACCGCCATTGACAAATGATGGAATTTTGAATTCTTTTTTTAATGATATGATGATCTTGATTCATGTATTCAAAATATCAAATGGGGTTTATTAATCTTGTATTTGGTTGTGTTTTTTTACAATGCTTCACACATGTTTGCATAAATTCCCCACTCAAACTACATATTATTTTTCTACTTCTGTTTATTTTGGTTAATTTCACTCACTATCTTCTTTGACTATTTGTAATGTTATTTCCCTTATGTACGAAATTATTTGCAAAATTAAACCCTTTTTTTAATACATACAAGTTAACTAATTATACTAAATCTTCATATATACTTTATATAGTTTATGAATTCTTAGCAGCCAAAATGAAAAATGTTGAAAGCATTTGATTGTTGAAGATTTTTATGGTTGGAAGTTTTTTTTTTTGGGGGGGGGGGGGGGGGAGGGGGGTTGAGGTTTGGGAGGTTGAAGTTTGTTAAACAAAGAAGTTGTAAGAGTTTTGGGAGGAAAAGGGTGTACATGTACTTATATATTATAGTATTCTTAGCACCCAATAAGGTAAGAGGTTGAGAGCATTTCAGTGTTGATGTATTAAATGGTTAAATTTTGTTATACAAAAAGCTTGCTAGAGGTTTGGGTGAAAAGGGTACTATTGTTTTCTCTGATGTAGAGCATGCTATTCTAAAGAGTAAGCCCATTTTGGTATTTGTAATTCACTGTTGACATTGTAATTCTGATACTTTTTCTTTAGACTTATGCTTAAAACTCTTTTTGTAATGTAGATGACCGTTCACTTCAAGAAGTGTTCAAGTTGTTTGATTTGATCCACATTGTTACTACTGACCACAAAATCCTTACCAGAATTGCTCAAGAAGTATGAAAAATTCACCTGTCCTTGTATAAAAGTTTTAATGCTCTACTCAAAATCTTATTCACTATTTCTTTCATGAAGTAGGTTGTCGAAGACTTTGCTACAGAGAATGTGGTTTACTTGGAGTTAAAAACAACTCCGACGGTACTTACTTACATTGGACCATTGGTGTTAAAAGAATTGCTTTTCATACTAAAATTTTGTGCAAAATATTTATATCAAGTCACTGACTGAAGTAACTATGTCACTTATGAAATTGTGTAATAGTTGTTTTTAAATGAAGTAGATGAATGATGGTCATGTAAAGAAATTATGTTCAGGTCGCCCAAGTTGTGTGCGTAAAAAAAAATTGAGTTAATTTTAGGTCATAACTAACATAAAATAATTTAGTACCAATAAAAAGGAAAAAGAGATGTGATTGTTTAGATTGTTATTTGTAATGTTTCCAATGGAGTTCCTTTGAATTGACCATGTAATCTGGTTGTATTATTAATTTAGGAGCCCCTCAAAGTTTCTAGACTTCTCAAGGAAATTATTAAAGTCTCTTCTGGTTATCATCACTCCTCTGCCATTACAGGTTTATATTTCTTGCTAGATACTTCATTTATCATGGTCTCATTGGGCTCGAGAATATTTACATGTTTTTCATTCGATATTCATTATTTAAGCTACTTTATAGAGTATTATAGTTAATGTCTAATCAGTGGTTTAAGCTTGTGTCTTGTTAATATTATTTTGAACTCCCTTTCCTTCCACAATGTAAAATGCTACATATGCAAATTAAATCTATTTTCTAGTTTCAGTTTTGACTTCTCATTTATGAAAGTCTACGTTAACGCTTAACAACTACGCATCTTTGATTATTAAATTATTGTTGTATCTCTTAATGCCTAATGGATTCCTGTCATAGGAATCACGATTCTTGTTCAACTTATAAGAGGAGATCTTAAAAATTTTATGTATATTTGGAAAGTGTTATAGTCCTTCTGTAACATATATTGCATAGATAAAAGCTTTCAAGCACTCTACTCTTTCCACAAGTGATGGCACTGATTATTGCACTAGAATGTGATGGCAATTGACTTTTAAATAGTAAGTTCCTACTGTTTCTAAACTTTAATTATTATTATTATTATTATTTTGGTTTTTGAGTTCTTTTGTGATGGGACTTAATGCTTGGTTTGGTTTTCTGAGCAAGGGATCTAAATCTGATCACGTTAATGGTACTTTGAATGACAATTTCCTCAGGTTTCCTCTATTTGGTAAAGATTCTGCTATTTCTCTCCAACTAGAGCTGGTAGACAGAGCTGCTATTTCTGCTATTTCAGTCCAAGAATTTCATACTTGATAAAGTGTGAGTTGAATGGATTAATTTCGTACTAAAGAATATGAGTTGAAATCCAACATGTAAGTATGATATAACTTTCGTTCTTTAAATTGATAATAAATAATTTCTTTAGTTGGTTAGTTTTTTATTTTGTTGTACACTGGGGTGATCCTCCTATTGTTATCATAGCAGCCACAAACCTAGAGTGATCCTCCTGTTAAAATTAGAATTTTATTTTTTTATGATGCTTTTAAAGGTTTTATTTATTTATTTATTTATTTATTTAAAAAAGAGAGACTCTAATTTCTTCTATAATAGATTGAAAGTTTCTTTTTAAACTTGTAAATAATATAGATTCTAATTTGACTTGGATTCTTTATTTTGAAACCTTCTGAGTTGTGTTCTTGATCTCTGCTACCCATTTCCCAAAAGGCCTTTGTCTCACCCGAACAAACTTGCTTTTGTTGTTGTTGTTGCCACCTCTGTTTTCTGAATGTGCTGCTGCTCTGTTTGGCACCTGAGAAACCTTCTCTTTGCTGCTTTTGGAGCTGAAGTTCCATTATAGAAATTATTAAGTTAAAAGTGTGTGTATGTATTTGCTGATTGAAGAGAAGAGAATGAAAGAAAGGAAAGAGGGGAGAGAGAGAATTGAGGAGTGGGTGATATTCTACTTGAAAATTTAATTCATGAACAAAAAGATGTTTAATTATTGATAACAACAGATTTGCATTAGTTGAATCTCCAATTTGTGATCACATGTGCTTACATTTGTTAAGTTATTTCTTACATACAAATTAGCTTGATAAATTGTTATTTACATACCATTTGATGTTTCTAATGGATGTCTCAATTACTTCTTAGTTGAAAAATCAATGATAAAAACAGTGGACTTATATTTAGAGATAATTTACGCTGAAAGTTGAAAAAAAAAAAAAAGAACAAGACAAACTCCAAGATATCGATTATTTTCAGAATAATCACCTTCCCATACTGTGGCAGGTGCGACCTGTGGTAAAAACTGGATATGAAAACCTGTTGCTTGTAAGGTTGCTGTTGGAGATAAGAGCTCCTTCTATTTGCAAATCATCGGTGTGTACTCACTCAGTAGTAACTTGTATTTTGTTAATTGAATTGATTAGCACAGATTAAAAACAAAAAAAAAGAAAAGAAAAAATAAAGATCAATTTGGGATATTTATATTCGCTTCTTTCAAATTATTCTGGACTTGACTGCTATGGTTTGATATGTAAGGCTACAGAGGGACTCACAGTTGAGGGAATATTGAAGAACTGGTCAAAGATAAAACCTGTTATTCTGGAAGCATAGGATGAGAATAGGGATGCTTTAATAGAACTTTTTGGAAGGGTAAGGGATGAATGGATGGACAACGACTTAGCTACTTGGATTGGTGCAAATAGGTAACTTACCTTAATTATTTGCAATGACATTGAGATGCTATCAAAATTTACAATAGTTCTAATAAATCCGTTCGAAACTTCTTTTCTTAAATGTTAATTTTCGAAACTCTTGCAAACGAATGATTTTTGTAGATAAAATGAAAAGGATAGTAGAAGTAGTAAGTCTTGGGCCGAAGAGTCTGTAACCAAGTCCTAACTATAAGTACCATGGATTTGGTGATTTATTGTTTTCCCTTCTAACATGCTAAATATGAATCATAAGAGACAAACAATTCTTCAAGGGATATTCTGTAAGGCCAAGCTATATCTAGATATATTCTTAACCTAGTTTCGACGAAGATTGGTGCGACATATAACATATAATGGCTAATAATCTAGATTTAAACAATTTAGCTGGAAGCTAATGCATCAATATATTCCTTTATATAGATTTTTGCATCGAAATTGAAGTAAACATGTGATTTGGCTTTTAGCAGTAATTATTTTGGGCTAAAGAGACCAAAATGATAATGATAGTTTGTGAATCTATAAAATTTTCTCTTTTTTTTACTTTATGCAATATACCGAACCTGAAATATGTGTGTGTCATATGCTAGTGAAGAAAGAAATGATGTGCACATTGCTTGCTTGTTGCTATGAAGTAACAAACAGTTGAATTAGCATACTTGAAAATTCATCTTTGAGTCAAGAAAAAGTGTTGAATGGAGAAGTACATTATCATGTGCTATATATATAAGAGCATATTAGCTCAAAATAAGTAAGGACCTACTTCAAAGATTCTAACATACTAATGCACCCTTAACTTGTTATTGTGACCTGTCCAACATTGGCTAGTTTCAAATTAAAGAACATATTGTAAACCAACTACGAACTATCTGAGGATAGCATTTGGCCCAATAGCTCGGACCCTTGGTTGTTTCCTCACTAATCGGGATTCGAAGCCCACCAGTCCCCTCTTCCCTTGGGATAATTAATATGTTATATTATGTCTTGTAAGAACAAACCCCCCCTCCCAAAAATATATATATATATATATATATATTTGTGAACTATATGGTACACAAGTCCAACATATTAGTTTCACTGCAAAATAAATGATCAATAAAATACACAATATATACTTTCTTGAATGTGTAAAGCTAGTTACAAGCTTTTTTTATTTTTTTGGGTACATTGGAGTCATTAGCCTTGGGTAAGTTACAGTCTTATAGAGTGCTATTTAGTGCATCAAATAGATACTTCGGATATGGATACTTGATTGAATCAATCAACTCGGTAGTGCCAGTTAAAGTTGGCACCATTGTTTAGAACATCGTAAACCTTCTATAGAGTACAATCATGATTACTTTGATAGTTTGGTTCTCTTGTCAATTCTATGAGAGAGTATGATACTATGATACTGATGTAGTTAAGTTAATGTGGAACCCACAGAAGATGATAAATATTAAGTGATTAGTCTTGGTTGAGCCTTTGATTTAAAATTGCTGAATTTTCATTTTATTAAATCTTTTAGATGCTCAAGTGATAGCTGGTTGATCTCAGGACGTCGCGGTGGCAAATTCCAACCCAAGCCCAAGGTTCAAATTAAGAGAGAGAAACCAGGTGCTGACACTTCTCATCCAAATGTAGTTGAGTCCATTCCATGTCCACAACAAGCTCAGTCAATTCCTTCTGAAACTGAATACATGAACAAGGGTTCAAACCTTGCATTCCCTGTGGCGCCCCAAAATTCATGACCGTAAACAAAAAAAATACAAATTACAACTCAAACAGGATAGCTAACCAAAACATCTTAATATACACATATAAGCAAAATTAATACCATAGTTAATTCATTTGTGTTCCACTATAGGATTACAAAACACTGTCAAACCAAAAGGCATAGGAAAAAAAAAAAAAACTACTAGTCGAAATCTTCAAGTGAACCACGGCTCCAATCATCTTGATTGCCTTCGGGATAACCTTCACTACCGTAAATTGCTTCCTCACCTGGCATGGCATGCCGTGAGCTTGGAATGCCCAGTAAAAACACACACACCCCCATATCTTCTATCAATCAATCAACCATACACAGAACAAATCAGGTAACATAACATACAATCTTACAAAAGGATCTATGAATTAGTAGTTAGTTTAGACATCTAGAATCCTCCAAAGAGATCCTTCTACCCAACCACAAGGATTGAACACTGGACTATTCAAAACTCCCCCCCTTTTGCTACTTTGCAGACCTTTCCAGCTATGCCCGCCTTCCGGTTATTTACCTGTCAGTGGCATTAATGGACCTCAAAAGGGACGGCCAAACAAGTGGGCTCGCTTACACCAAAATCGTGCCTAGGGCTTGCTTACACCCTGCACATACCATACCAAATCGTGCCTAGGGCTCGCTTACACCCTACACATACCATATCAAAGCGCTCGCTTACACCCTAAAACCACCGCATAGAGTCGGAATACATTCGTGTCAACCTAGGGGCTCGCTTAGACCACTTGCACAAGACTTAACTCATTAATTTGGTTTTAATCCCATTCACATGTATATTACATAAATCATTCTGAAGCACAAGGGTGAACGTCACCCATTACCAACCCCTTTTCATTTCCCAATTATTAGATCTTTTGCCAAGCAAGTTAGTCACATTCGGTAATTTGGTAATATAAAAGAGCAAGAGACAAACATAAAAGAGGAAATATAGCCCATGATAGTCATACATAGGTATGGTAAGGCAAGCAAATAACATTAGGCATGCTTTGAAATACTTAGAGACAAATAACACAATAAAACACCATTTCCAGCATTATTCGGTTCTATAGGGCTAACAAGAATGCTTTGGGAAAACGACTTCTAGGTCAAATTAGGGGCTGAAATTGCACAGAAATAATAATTAACCTGTCTAGTTTCAATTTGAATTCAATTTGCACAGCACCTCTAGATATTCATCTACAAGCTATTTTCAAAAACCTGTTCAAATTTGTTACCCTTTGGGAAAACTAGCTTTCCTCTCAATCTACCCAATGATTTTCACCCAAATAAATTCCATTGGAAAGAGGAATCATAATTCTAAATTTTGACAGAAGAACCAACATGAGATGATTTTTCTGGAATTTTATAAAATTGCAAGAAGTTAACTGTTTTTTAGAGACTCAGGACCAGATTTTTAAATAAAATATCCAAGCCCTAAAAACACATAATTAGGGGTTAATAAAATTATCACAAACTCTAAACACACCAAATAGACTACACTAAATTCAAATTTGAAAAATAAATAAATTTCATATTTCTTTTAAATTAGAGAAGTTGCAGCAATGCATAATTTGACAAATTTGTAAGGCAAAGTCACTAAATCAAACCCACACTTTTATACACATCAAAAACCTTATTTCCCATTAATATGCAACACAAGAGGGCATCTAAACAATAGGATGGGATGGTGAAAGAATTGGAGAAGACAAGAGGAAGAAGTGTTCTTACCTTCTTGAGTCACTTTTTCTTCTTTTTCTCTTTTTTTTTTTTTCCTTCTTCTCTACTTCCCTTAATCACACTCTCCCTTTCTCACCCTCTCCCTAGGCTGCTAAAAACGTGAGAGTGGAATTGAGTTAATGCTTCTCAATTTATAGGCTATGAATTGGGTTAAAAAGACCAATCTACTCTTCTAACTTAATGCCTAAGCAAACTTATAAATATCTAGATATTTTTCCACTAATTTGCTACTAATTTGCTCAAATAAATATTAAAATACATAATAAAACGATTTTTTTTATAAATATGTTTATAGCTATTTATTTGCTCAAATAAATAATTAAGGTTCAAAGAATTAGTAAATATGCAACTAGGCTAAAAAAGAAAATAAAATGTATAAATTAATTTAGAAATTAGGAGGTAAAATAAATAAAAGTCAAGTGTTAGGGTATTTCTAATTATAAAGTGGTGTTCTAGGCTTTAAAATTATTCTTTATTGGGCCATTATACAGACTTTTATGGAACTATGGGCTAAAATGCTATTAACCTAAGGTTTAGGGTTTCACGTGCAGTTACCAAGCATTAGGGTCTCTACATTCCCATCTAACAATATTGTTGATTTCCCATCGTTGAGGAAATATCCAATATTTTTTTGGATGATTTAGAACATTTTGGACGGTTTAGAACTTAGCGATAGTTTTTTATTTTTAGAAATATAGTTTTTAGATGGTTTGGAATGTATGGATAGTTTTTGGATATTTAGAACTTATGGATAGTTTTTTTATGGATACTTGAAATAATATTTTGATGTTTGATTAATGCTTATATATATATATATATATATTTGTGAAACTTGTTTGTAATGTTTTCTTAAATTATACAAAATAGGTGAAATATAACCTGCTGATTTTTTTTTTAAAAAAAAAAATTTACATATTCTACGGCATGAAAAAAATGCTGTAAAACTTGGGCTATCTACGACAAGCAAAATAGGTCATTGTATTAAATATTCGATGACCAGTAATGAATGTCGTGGTTTGTCCCTTGAATTAACGGTGTGCAAAAGTTGTTGTAGAAAAATAAAATACGACGCACAAGATCTGCTGTTAAAGTATTTTTAACGACGTGCAAAAGTAGTCATAGAAAAAGGAACAACGACGTATAAAATCTGCCGTTAAATAGTTTTTAACGGCGTACTATAACATGTCATAGACAAAGTAATGACGACGAATAAAATCTCTCGTTAAATAGTTTTTAACGGCGTACAAAGTATGTCGTTGAAAGTGAATGACTTTTCATGACTGGTTATAATATGACGCGTGTTGCACGTTGTTGAAGGGTTTTTACAGCGTGCATTGCTCGTCGTAAAAACCTTTTTTTGTTGTAGTGATTCTGTGTTTTCAAAAATTAAACTTAACACTAGAAAATCTCAAAGTTGAAAGTTAATTCAAAACTAGTCTTACCACTTACCTTAGAATCGAACATGGTCCAAAAAGTTTTCAAGAAGACTGGAGGGATCACACTGGTCCCACTTGAGACCCAATTAACCTTAGACAAAACTTTTAAGACCATGTTGACTCCTAATCCATGGGAAACAATTTTTAGAATTAACTTTTTCAGAGAATAAATTAAGTTAAAACAAACCAAGTTTCAAATTTACAAGCAATTAAAAAATTGCTATAAATTACAAGCAATTAAAAAAAATTACTACAATAAGTATAAACAAATAAAATGCTTCCAAAACAGAAAACAAACTTGCTTAAAAAGCTCAAGAAAAATATTGCTTCACATTTTAAGAAATGAAACCAATCCAAATAAGGATTCTTATGGTTCAAAAAATTCCTTTCCATGCTTAGGTATTTCTGTTCAACAAAAAGGTTAGTAATCCAAATTTTTATTGCAATTCCAAATTTATTCATTTGGATTTGTATTTTTTTCCCTTCCTTTGCGTATAGGTATTCTTGTAAAAAAAGTTAGCGGAAAAATGCAACAAAACACAAAGAAAACAATTGAAAGAAACTGTAAAAGTAATAAATTAATATAATAACAAAATTAAGTAAAAATTAAAAATGCTAGGCAAGTTACACAACTAAACTTATAACTTTTAAATAAATTACAAAACTTATAACTCTAAAAATTAAAATTAATCGATGGGAGTTGAGAGGGTAATTTTTGGTAAAAATTGGGCCGAGCTATGTGATAGGCTTCGTGGCCCAAAGTGCCAAGGACTTGGTGAAAAGGCCGCAAGGTTACTCCGGCCCAGGAGAGGTATGGTTACTCCGGCCCAGGAGAGACAGGGTTACTCCGGCCGAGGAGAAGCAAAGCTACTCCGGCATAAGAGGGACAAAGTTACTTCGGCACAGTGACTGTAGAGGTACTTCGGTCCGAAAGCAACTTAGAGTTGTGCCGGTCTTGGGGTTATACCGGTCGAAAGTCGCTGGTTCGGTCTAAAACCGTATTATGGGTTCTATATGGAAAGCCGAGATAAGAAAGGGAAGACAAAAGAACCGAATTATGAGTGAGTTCGGTCCACTCGGTGGCTTAAGTATAGCCAAAATTTATTTCGGTCAAATGGTGGTTCGGCCATGGAGGAAACCATCCCACTTGGTTTAAGCAGTGGGGGAGGGTGTAAAAGGATAACACAAGAAAAATATTGCTTCACATTATAAGAAATGAAACCAATCCAAATAAGGATTCTTATGGTTCAAAAAATTCCTTTCCATGCTTAGGTATTTCTGTTCAACAAAAAGGTTAGTAATCCAAATTTTTATTGCAATTCCAAATTTATTCATTTGGATTTGTATTTTTTTCCCTTCCTTTGCGTATAGGTATTCTTGTAAAAAACGTTAGCGGAAAAATGCAACAAAACACAAAGAAAACAATTGAAAGAAACTGTAAAAGTAATAAATTAATATAATAACAAAATTAAGTAAAAATTAAAAATGCTAGGCAAGTTACACAACTAAACTTATAACTTTTAAATAAATTACAAAACTTATAACTCTAAAAATTAAAATTAATCGATGGGAGTTATAGGAAATTATTACACAATTAACAGCCAAATAATTCTAGAATACAAAATCATGCATAATTATACTAGGAGAATAAACTATTACCAGGCCATTCTAGGAAGCACTTGATATGTAAATAATTCTATAAAATTAAAAGCAATTAACTTGCAAATTAAATTAAAATCTAGAAATAAGATATGTACATAATTCTAGAACTCTAGAAAATAAAGAACATGCACATTATCTTAAAAATCTAGAAAATAATAAATATGGGGAAAAAACTGAAATACTCATGAACATTCAAATTATATTATAAAATTATAAAATAAAAGACATGTAAATCATGATAAAAAAAATTAAAAATCATACTCATAAAATTAACACCTTATACTCAAACCAAACAATATGCAAAATAAATTAATATGCAGATACATGTGACTTCCCAAGCATAAAGTTATGCAGTCCGACAATGGACTAATCAAGGCAACAGTGCCGAAGCACATAATTAGGGGTGTAATTTTGTCCCGTGACCCGCGGGTGGCTTGAAGCCCCCCTGCAGCCCAAGGTGGGCTCGGCCCGTTAAGGCCCAAGCCCAGCCCGGCCCGAGGCCTTGGGCCAGGGCCTAGTCCATCGTTTTGAAGCCCGGCCTGTGGCCTAGCCCATCAACCTGTTCAAAGACTGCCCAAAAGCCCGGCCCGAGGCCCGGCCTGCCCAGCCCACCCGAGGCCCAGTGTTATTTTTAATGAAAAATAATAAAATTTTGATGAAAAAAATTTAAATTTTTTTTTTAATTGTTTAGGCCCGCCCAAGCCCGCACAAAGCCCGAGCCCGCACAAAGCCCGAGCCCGAGCCTAAGCCCAAGCCTAGGGGCCCAGCCCGAAGCCTGGCCCACTAGCCCACCCAAAGCCCAAATACCCTTGGGCCTGGGCCTAGTTCTCTGTCATGTGGGTCGGCCCAGCACGGCCTGATTTTTTGCGGGAGCCTGCAAAGCTCGACATGGGCCGAGCCAAAATTACACCCCTACACATGATAAATATATTCGCATATACTATAAAATTAATCAAGCACTTCCATATCTAATAGCATCAAGCACTTGTTTGTTTGTTTGTTTGTCTGTTTTTTAATTTAAATCCCATTTTAGGTATCATTGAAACAATAGCTATCAGCATGTGGGAATTCCTCCAGGTGGTTCGGAAAACAAGAACAATAGCATGCAGTTTTGTTTTTAACACTTAAATCTAATGAATAAAAGTCAAACCATAATCATGCCTTCTATGTAAGAAAGTGATTATACATATGCATCATTTGCAACCATACTAATCTATCAATTTCGATTTAGAGCACTATAAATTTAAAGTTTTAAAAGGATCACTAATGAGATGACAATGTAAAGAAGAAAAAAAAAAGAAAAAAAGAACAACAACAACAACAACAACAAAGGCCAAACTATCACATCAATCATGGGATCTACATGATGCCACGCCATTAGTGGTGCTAAATTAGTGGTATGAAACATTTTTCTTAATCTATTACATATAAATCTATTTATCTAATATCAGGGAAAACATATAGAATCTGTTTTAAGATTGATGTATAAATTGTGTAATTTAAATAAAATAAACAAATAGACTCATACTTAATTAAATTGATTTTCATAATAATAAATCATAAATCTAACTCATCCTAGAGACTACATTTTGAATTAAATTATAGAACATGAAAACATGGGAAATTACAAGTAGATCTAATAAAAATACATAACATGATAAAGCATTGAAAAAATAGCAAACCGAAGCCTGTGTGGTACCACAGTCTCCTTAAAACATAGTCGTCACCTCACCGTGGGTGCTGGAGGTCTGTCGGTCTCTGTCTCCCAAGATACGAAGGTCTAGAACTCGCTAACGCAGAAGTCAATTTTGTTAGCTCCAGCAAACTGACAATAGTAGCAATTTCTGTGTTGAAACCAACGAAGATGGCCTCCTTTATACACAATGGGGAAGAGAGGAGGAACCTCCCAGCCATAAAGGCTGGCAGCAAATGCACCCATTACTCCTGCAAAACTGATGGAGTAATGCACAATAATGGGAAGTAAGTAAGTGAATTACACGTTGTTTATACATGTGTGTATATCTGCAGCCACCAAACAAATTTGGCCCCAAAAAGATTAGGTTGGTGGACCACCAATCCGATCTAGCCCAAATCTAACCCATTCCAGCAAGCCTCAAGCCTCAAGATCCATGGACTCAGACCCAGCCCAGGAGGCGGCACGTGCGTGTGTGACAATTTTTGTGTAAGCAACTTGGACTAACTCCATCCTTCAAGCATCTATAACTCCCTTCCTTAAAAAAATTTGGATGCCCCAAAAGGTTCATGCCCTTATCAAATCCTTGAGATTTAAATACCCATCAAATTTTTTCTCTACAATCAATGTGGAATTAGTAGTTATACACAATTTCCAATGCTTCATTTATGAGACCAACTTTATGAGACAATTTTTTATTCAATTCTTAATGTTTTTGGTCATTCTTTTTATGGTGTAAAGATCTGGTTATAAACAATTTAAACCCATTTAATCTCACCTCTACCAATGGTTGAGACATACTTTAATTTCACATTAAAGTCACCATAAAATTATTTTTTCCAACATATGACGCACGGGGTTTAATGTATAAAATTTAATAATTTAGACAAAATATAACAAAAATCTAGTTTCTCACAATTAGTGTCGATAGATTGTTTTATAATTGATATTTTATAACTCAAAAAAAATTTGTAACAGAAAAAAAAAATTAATAACAAACAAATACTAGAATTAATAACATTTTTTTAATTACAAATGCATAATCCTAACAGAAAAAAAAAATCAAACAAATAATAGAATTA